AGCCCAGGCCTGGACGGCTTCACGGGGAGTTTTACAGAACATTCAAAGAAGATCTAACACCCATTTCTCCTCAAACAACTCCAAAAACTCCAAGAAGAAAGATTTCCAAACTCATTTACAAGGCCAGCATAATTCTAATTCCACACCAAATAAAGACACTACAAAGAAAGAAAACTACATACAGGTCAATATCCCTAATGAATATAGATGCCAAAATGAAGCTAGACCACCAACTTACACCATACACAAGAATAAACTCAAAATGGATAAAAGACTTAAATGTGACTCATGAATCCATAAAAATCCTAGAAGAAAAGGTAGGCAACAAAATTTCAGACAATACACGCAGCAGAATTTTCAGATACCATACCTAAGGCAAGAGAAACAAAGGGAAAAAAATGAATAAGTGGGACTACATCAAACTAAAAGCTTCTGCACAGCAAAAGAAACAAGCATCAAAATGGAGAGGGAACTCACTATATGGGAGAGCATAATTTCCAACGATATATCAGATAAGGTTACTTTCCAAAATATATAGAGTACTCATACAACTCAAGGAAGAAAAACAATCCAATTAAAAAATGGGCAGAGGACCTAAATAGATACCTCTCCAAACAGGTCATACAAATGGCCAAGAGACATATTAAAAAATGCTCAACATCACTAATCATCAGAGAGATGCAAATTAAAACAACAATGAGGTATCACTTCACACCTGCCAGAATGGCCGCCATCAACAAATCATCAAACAACAAGTGTTGGTGAGGGTGTGGAGAAAAGGGGACTCTAGTGCACTGCTGGTGGGAATGCAGACTGGAGCAGCCACTATGGAAAACACTATGGTGTTACCTCAAAAAATTAAAAATGGAACTGCCATTTGATCCAATGATCCCACTTCTAGGAATATGTCCTAAGAATCCTGAAACACTAGAAAGAATATATGTACCCCTATGTTCATAGCAGCACTATTTACAATTGCTAAGATCTAGAAACAATAGATGAGTGGATAAAAAAGCTGTGGTACATATACACCATGGAATACTATGCAGCTATAAGGAAGAAATCGTACCCTTTGAGACAACATGGAGGGACCTGGAGAGCATTATGCTAAGTGAAACAAGCCAGTCAGAGAAAGACAAATATCACATGATCTCACTTATTTGTGGAATATAATGAACAAAATAAGCTGATGAACAAAATACACCCAGAGACATAGTAGTAGGGTACAGACTGACAAACCTCAGAAGAGGGGGGACAGGGCGGGGGGAACAAGCCAAAGAACTTATATGTATGTATGTGTACCCAATGGACATAGACAACAATGCTGGGGGTGGGGGGAGGGGACCCGGAGGAAGGTGTCGATGGCGGAAAAAGGAGAAACATCTGTAACAAAAATAAATTAATTAAAAATATATTTTTTTAAAAGTCTCTACAGGTTTGAACGCTTTTTGCGTTAGCACAGGTGAGGAAAGTGCAGAGGTTAAGGGCCAAGGTCAGTGTCAATAAGCAGAAGCAGTGTCTGAACCTAGGTCTGTGGCCCTGCCCTTAATGAGGAGGGGACTGCCACCTTGTCTCCACCAACTATTTGACAGGACAGCACCCCAGGACTTGTCCCAAAGGAGCATTCCGCTGTGAGCGTAGTATGCGGAATGTTCCTAGTTCTCATTTCTCCCTTTGCTTTCTGCAAATACTAAAAACTTCTACTGGCTAAGAAAGCACTGAGGTTTTCTGAACACTACCTAGGAAGAACGGCGGGTGGTGGTGATACCGTTGCAATTAGCTAATTATTAATAACAGGAAAAGAGCAAAGGGGAGCCCAGACTTTACAGGCATGTTCTCTGCAAAACATGGGGGAAAGGGACAGGACCAAGGGAAGACAGACGCATGCCCAGTAAAGTTGGGATGACTAAGGACCGTGCTTGCTGTTAGTCACACCTGGGAACAGATCAGGGGCCAGAATGGGCGTGGCCACTGAGAGCGTGCAGCTCTTGGCAAACTGGCTGATGGTTCGCAGCTGGCTCCCTGGTGTTCTCCCCTGTGGCCTATGGCCATGCGAACCCCGCACGCGATGGGCTAATGGACTGCAACTAGCCAGATGCTGTCCTGGACCCCCCTCCAACAGGGAAAGGAAGCCGAAGACACTGGCTTTGCTGGTAGCTTTACTGAAACCCCAGCTCCCCTTCTTCCATGACATTTTCTTCTAAGTAAAATGTGACTTTAGAAACACTAGGATTTAATTACATGCAAACAAAAATCACTGTGCTCCAGGGCGAGCCTCAGAAAATCCCTTCCCTCGGGATATCTAAGGCATCCTATCCCCAGGAGCGGCCCTGTTCAAAACCTCCCTCCCCTGATGACGGAGGAAGCCAAAGGCTGACCTTGCACCTTAACTCATCCCAGTGCGTTTTCCCTCTGAAAACACTTCTCCGTTTTCGAACCTCTCAGGAGGCAACTGAGGCGTCCCTCCTCTCCGCTCTCTGCACGCGGGCGAGGCTGAACTAGGGAGTTCTGCAAATCCTGACTCGGCCACAGGCACAAGCAAGCGGCAAACGGCAGAGAATTCACCGCTCGCCGTTCTGGCCAGCGCAGCGTCACGTTCACTTCTGCCCTTTAGCGCGCCCTCCGCACAGGTGCACGGTCACGTGCGGGCGCCGGCGGCGGGCACAGCGGGGCAGGGCGACCCGAGCCCGCGGCGGCTCCCCCGCCGCCCACCGTGAACAAACGGGTCGGGGGGGAGGAGTCCGCGGCTCCGCAGGCAGCTTCCCCGGGCTCCGCACTCCGCCCGGGCCTCCGGGAGCAGCGACGGACTGGGGCCCAGGGCGCGGCCGGGAGGGGGGCCAGGGGGCGCCGCCCCGACGTGAGGCTCGGCGGCGGGCGGGCCCGGACTCACGTTTGTACTCGGCCATCAGCCTCTTGAGCGCCGTCCCCGCCATCGTCCGGGAAACAGCCGTGCCGTCGGGCCTAGCCGCTGAGCGCTCGTATCCTCCCGCCGGACGACGGGGTTGCTTCCGGGTCGCAGAAGCTCTTCCGGGCATGGGGGCGCGCGTGCGCGGTGGCTGGGCTGGCGCCGATGCGAACGCCGCGTGTGGGACAGGGCGGGGCACGGACGGGGCGGGGCGGGGCGGGGCACGGACGGGGCGGGGCGCGGACGGGGCGGGGCGCGGACGGGGCGGGGCGGGGTGTGCGAGGGACCGTGTCGCTGCGGCTTTGGCCCCTGGTCCCGCGAGGTGGCTTGGCCCTTCGGCCGTCTGTGGGGTTACAGCCTCTTCCAGCAGCCCGCTTCTGGAGGGCCGGGTCTTCCCGAAGATTCCGGGCGGCGGGTGCCCGGGATGGGTGCATGGTAACCACCTGTTCCGTCACAGTGGCCACAGGAGGGTCGGGACGAAGGAAGGGGCGACGGCAGGGCGGTGGACACGAGCTGGCCAGGGTATTTTTTAAAGACTCCCGGGGTGGGGGGCAGAGAATGAAGAAGCCGCAGTCGGCGGAGTCCACCGCTTGTGGCCGCGACAGTCATCCCCGCCGCTAGGAGCCAGTTACCCATTCGGGGCCGAACTGCAGCCAAAGGAGACCATCTCCTAAGACACTGCCGCCCGACTACTTCCCCACGACGGTTCAGTTTGGAAAGAGAGGTTTGGCGATGGTGGTGGGTTTATCCGGGTGCCCAGACTCGGCCCCACAGAGGGAGGGACCTGGGGAGCCCTAGGGGGCCCAAGCCGGGGGCCAGCCCGCTGACCAGCATGTGAGAGCTTCCTAAGCAATCACAGAGGCCAGCAAGTTCAGTGGAATTAGTATCTTACATCTCCAGCAACTGAAGTTCTGAAGTATAAAAAGCATCTTCTGCATCACAGCTGAACCCAGTTTAAGGTAGAGCTTTAATATTCATACCGTTTCCCTAGATGTAAGCTTGGGCAGCACAGCAGGTGCCACCTGCCAGGTTTTCCTGGGAGGTAGGGCTCCGGGACTTGGAACTCTCAGGGCTGAGATGGAGAGGTGCCAGCTGGGACCCTGGGACCACCAACAGGACGGCTACGGCACACCTCCTCCTGAAACATCAAGATCCTGGGAGCTACATTTACACAAATATGTTTTTTAATTTATTGGTTTGAGAGAGAAAAGGAGAAACTTCTATTTGGCGTTCCACTTATCTGTGCATTCATTGGTTGATTCTTGTATGTGCCCTGACTGGTGATTGAACCCACAACCTTGGCATATCTGGAAGACACTCTAACCTATTGAACTACGTGGCTAAGGCCTGTGAATATTTTTAATATATTAATACCAAGTGGTATTATTCCAAGTGCACAATTTGCATAAACTTTAGGGAAAAGGCACCTCAAGTACGCCCTGTTCCACTGTCTGCTGTGGGGGGGATTCAGGCAGCACTGCTCTCGTCCCAACCTCCACCTCCCAACGTAAGGGGGCTGTGCAGGGGCTGCTCTGTGGATGTAATCCCCCCACCACTCTCCGGGGCACCTAGCACTCTTCGGTCCCACCTACTGTGGCTGCTGCGAATGACCAGGTGCGAGTGGATGTGCCATATTTCACCTGCCCTTGACCTTTCTGCTTGCGCTCCTCTCTCCAGATGGACGAACCAAAATAGCTAGTCATTTTCAACCATGGTTTGTCACAGCAGAGTCCACTGGGAAGTTCTGTCAAATTAGCAGTTCAGCTTCAAATCAGTAAGGCACCAAACAACTTGAGATGCCAGACTGATGTCCAGATCCACTGCCTCCAAACCCCACCCTCTCTTCACAAGTGACACCCAGGAGAGGAAGTGTCATTACAATGCCAATTCAGCTTACCCCAAAGGAGAGCTCTGGGAGACGTGAGAGAGAACTCCTCGGCAGGGATTCAGGGCGTGGGGGAGGCAGCAGGTGAATACGTACTTTTCAGCAACTAGCCTTTAAATCAAAGTCTGCGTGGCCTCCCTGAATGGTCATTACGAATGCTGAATTGTTGACAGTCAACCACAACCTCCAAATGCAGTATTTAATACAAGAGACAGAATACCAAACTATATTTACTGTTTACAGTAGTAAAGGACAACAAAGAATGTACAAACTGTGAACAAACAGCAGAGCCAGCAAACACCACATCCACACCCCAACAGCAAAACACAAAGGAAAGGCAAGATTCCAGGCAAGCAAGAGATGATGGTTGAGGTTGCACTGTCCAGGCGCCAGAACGAGGCAGAGCAGGGCCATCAGGAGTGGGGGTTCCACACAGTAGAAGGGCAGCAGCAGAACTGAGAGTGTAATAGGTAGAGGTTCCAAATGTCTCACAGAAATGAAATCACAGCTGACGTTTGGAAAGTGGCAGAGAACAGTCCACGAGAAGAACGTGAAGTCGTCTTTGCACGGGCCCATTTGTCACCACACTTTGAAGTAGCTCTTTTACACAAAAACGTCATTGCAAAATCAGCAATACTTAATCATACTTTTTTATAGAGAGACCGTAATTATTCATCAGAAGCAAATACTGGAAGAAATCTGAGAACACAGTACTACTACCAAGTGAGAAACATGAGAACTACTTTCCTCCATATTAAAAGAGGACACCTGAAACTAATATAAAATAATATTGAATGTAAACTATAATTGAAACAGTTTTTTAAAGGGGGAAAAGCCAATTTTCGCTGCACCCCACTGTGCCCATGCACCATCAGGAGCCCTGGCCCGCCCCTGCCCAAGCACACAATAGAGGAACAGAGTGCCCAGGGCCATGCTACTGAGGAACTCGGTTATTTTTCTTTTCACCCTTTATAAAGCATTCCAGTATTCTCCCTTCAACTTTCCCATATTCTCACAAAACTTAAAATTGCAATATTTAGCATTTAAGAAACAGTAAGTGGAAGTTTGTCTCCCAGCCCCACAATGCCCCCAAAATTTGTCCCACAGAAGCACCCCCACTTTGGTGATGTGAGCTCTCTACAATGGAATACGCAGTGGGGGGGCTTATTCAATACCTGGGATAAGATCCCTGTCTAGACTAAAAGGGGACATTCACACAAGTTTCGGGGAAATGCCATAGGAGGGGGGAAAGACAAAATTGAAAGCAAAAACAAACCCCAAAAACCTCGCAACTCATTTTCCTAAACAAACAGGACACTGTGGCTGGCCCAGGTTCAGGTAAGGATTCGTGCCTGCAGACAGTTTTGAGTTGCACCTGCAGTATGTCAGAGGAAAGGGATTCTGATGGATGTCCTTGGTTCCTGCAGACTCCTTTGTGATTGGCATGGTCACGTGTTCACTATTCAACAGCAAATGCAAGGACGGTGACAGTGGGGCCGGTGCCTCTACAGACTACATCCCAAGAGGCAGCCAGCTGCTCGCGAGCCTCCTGTCTGCTGCTGGAACACGTCGATGGTGTCTTCGTCCTCCATCTCCAGCTGGCAGCATCAGTGTGACGGGCACAGTGAGAGAGGGGAAAGCTGTTAGTTAGTTTTCTCGCCATCACAGGAACAGACACTGTCCAACTGAATTCACACGGCCAGCGCACTGTGTCCCTCGCATTGGCACACACCACCCTGGTGCCCTGTTACACCTTGACTCTATGGCACTCCCTCCTGGTCATACACAGGGACAAGAGGCTTTGTTTAAAATTTCTAACGAGCTACTTATTCACCAACCTTCCCCTAACAAAACTCACAAAAGAATATTCAAAACTGCCCTGGCCGGTGTGGCTCTGTGGTTAGAGTGTTGGCCCGAGCACCAAAGGGTCTCGTGTCTGATTCCCAACCAAAGGCACATACCTGGGTTGCGGGTTTGATACCCAGGTGCGGGAGGCAACCAAATCGATGTGTCTCACATCGACGTTTCTCTCTCTCTCTCTCTCCCTCCCTCCCTCCCTCCCTCCCATTCTCTTAAAAACAGTGGAAAAAAATCTATTGGGTGAGGATTATCATAAAAAAAAAAAACTAACTTTAACTGATAGAAAAACTAAGTCTCATTTAAAAAAAAATAAGTATCTAAAATTGTTACTGAAAATGACACAAAATCAGATTCCAATTAGGAACATCAAGTGAGTGGCACCAAGTCCTGGGGACTAGCCAGGGCCACACTCTTTGTGACAAGCGCAGTGGATGGAGCCTGTGGGTTCCAAAGCAAACCAAGTCAGAAAAGAAGTGCTCGGTAAGGGGCCTGGTGCTGGCTGCACCGATCCCCACCCCTCCCCTTGAAAACCAGGCCAGAGAAGGGCAAACGCTCCTGCCTGCTCCTGTCCGACGTCCCAGGCATGGACATCTGCCTGATCGCTGTCCACGCTCGGACAAAAGGAAGACTCTGCCGAATCACAGGCTAAACGGGGCTGGCAGCAGCGTTTTCCCAGAACGTTCTCAGAAATGGAGGGAAATACGTCCGGGTTAGCGGGCCCCGTCCTACTGCAGACACCACCTGAGCGGGAGCCAGGGTGACATTCCGGGGGAGAGCTTTCCAGCCCCCACCCCAGTGCAAACCCCCCAGAAATCCTCACAGAGCCCACCACCGTCTCAGCAGCAGCAAGTTCCTCACATGGGCAGCAAAGGCAGCACTTTTACACAAGCCGACCCAACTGATTCTGCCTCTGTCAAGGATAAGCCTGAGCAAACCTCCAATGGACAGTGACTCTGGGTCACATCATCATCCAGCTGATGAATGACAAGAACCACAGACTGAACCTTGGCCTCCACCTGGGTCTGAAGCTTTTACGCTTTGGCGCCACGCACTGCAACATGCTGGGCCAATGCTGAGGTTGTTTTGGGGGGCATGTGCTTAATAAAAACTAACTCCCGATAGTGAAGGGGTACCCACTCCTTTCCATCCACACCCCTTGTTGGAAGCAAGCCAGTAAGGTAGCTACAAACTGACTGACATCACAGACTCAATGTCCGGACCACCGGTGGGTGTGCGTGCGTCTGCCCAGCAGCCTGGACCCTTCTGCTGAGCCCCAGCCCGCTCACTGCATCTCCCAGCCTGGAGGAGGATGTCCGACAACGGGCATCATTCTCATCTGAAACAATGAACTGCCCAACTAAAAAGTTAAACAACCTAATAAATAAGAACATTGAGAAAAAGCAAGGCTTTCCCTATGAGGACCAACATGTAGCTCCCCAACACGACTGTCACAAACAGCAGTTAGTCAGTGCAGGTGGGAAGCAGCTCAGGATGTCAACGCAGCTTTCATACCTGGGCCGGGGTGTCCGCTTCATTGATTGGCTGCCCATCAAACCTGAATCTAATCTGTCTCATTGACAAGCCCTGAAAAGAAAAGAAGAAAAGAAAAGAGAAATATAATTAAGTATCTATAGGTAATGCATTAATTCAAAAACATCAACTACTTACACCAAAATATCAGAATTCTGATTGTGCAGATTAATGATCCAGTGGACATAAACCTACTGGTGGGCCTACAGCCCATGTCATGTGATAGCAACAGCAGCACCTTCAGAAACCACTTGTCACCCTGCGCACCTGCCCTTACCCACTCGCATTTCTCTCCCAGAGCCACGCAGGGTTTCTGCACTGCTGCACCACTCCTCCGCCCTTTACTGTATGCTCACAGAGAAAGGTCAGGTGACAGGCAGCAGGTGACAAGAACATTGCATGAAACTGGGAAGGCAGGAGGGAAGGCATTTTCCATCCAAAAAGGAGCACGTACATACTTCCCACACCCTGAGGGGATGTTGCACATGGTCAGGATGCAGAGACATTGCCTTTTTAAAAGCAGCTCTGATTTCACATGAACAGGAGATGAGATTAAAACATGCATCTCTGCTCCTGAAAAGACATCAAGAAATAAAAAGATGTCCTAATGCCCTGGCCAGTGTGGCTCAGTTGGTTGAGCATGGTCCCATGCACTGAAAGGTTGCTGGTTCGATTCCCAGTCAGGACACATACCCAGATTGCGGCTTCAATCCCCAGTCAGGGTACAAGCGGGAGGCAACTGATCAATGTTCCTCTCTCACACTGATTTTTTTTTCTCTCTCTCTCCTGTTCTCCCTTCTCTCTAAAAATCAATCATTAAAAAAAAAAGAAATAGCCCTGGCCGGTCTGGCTCAACAGTTAGAGCGTCGGCCTGTGAACCAGAGAGGCCCGGGTTCGGTTCCCGCTGAAGGTGTGTACCTCAGTTGAAGTTTGTCCCCGACCCAGGGTGAGATCATGTGGGTGGCAACCACTCATGTGTCTCTCTCACACCGATGTTTCTCTCTCTCTCTCCCCCTCCCTCTCTCCCGCCCGCTCTATCTGAAGATAAATGCAAATATGTCCTCGGGTGAGGAAATAAGGAAGGAAGGAGAAGGGGAGGGGAGGGCAGGGGAGGGAGGGGAGGGGAGGGGAGGGGAGGGGAGGGGAGGGAGGGGAGGGGGGAGGGGAGGGGAGGGGAGGGGAGGGGAGAAAGGCATAATCAGCAGGTCAAAGAAGAAGGGGAGGGGATAAGCCAGCAGAACAAGGATGTCACCAATGGGCTGGAAGCTCCAAATCCCTGGATGCTGGACCCCAAGGTCCGGGTGGCAGTGAGGGCAACAAGATGCAGCCCTGGAGGGGAGGAGCAGGCACAGATGGTCTGGGAGGCAGAGGCGCGGCAGGCACCTGATTCTGGATGATGCCTAACAGTTCCCATCAGATCCCCAGGTCAGGGTTGCCGACGCCGAGAGGCAGTGCTGTGCCTCCCCCTCGGAGCCCCCGCCCATCCACTAAGCTGCTGGGGCACAGGCAGGAGTGGAGGAGGCAGGGGTCCACTTCCGGAAACTCAGTGACTCACAGGTCAGCACATCCACCAGTCCTGCAGGTCAGCCCCGCCACGCGTGGGCCCTGTTCACACTCACGCATGCAGGTTCCCATGCTCCTCAGTGCCTCGCTCTTTAATATGAGTAGTCAGCCAAGGGTTGGAGGACACTTAAGGAAAGGCTCAAAAATGTGAGAAAACAAACCAAAGATGGAGGAACATGGAGGGTGAAGAGGTAGGTCCGAGGACACTTCACACACACACACACACACACGTGCGCATGTACACACACACATACATACATGAACACTCGCGTGTACACATGCATACAGGCACACATATGGAATTCTTAGGAGACAGAAAACAATAGTAAGTTACTAGTGGGGAAGGAGCCTCCAAGCACAGGAACTTTTGGAAATTGGAAACATGACAGAAATCAAGACTGCCCATGTAAAGCTCCCAGAAAGGAAACCAAGAGCGACGACAAACCTGATGCACCACTGGGGAAGCGGTCAGTGAACATTCTAGAACAGGTACCTGCACTGTGGACAAGAATTCCAAAAAGAGGGAGCAGAGACCAGAGAGGGAACAAACCATTCAAGAACTAATAGAAGGTACATTTCCTGCCTGCGGTGTGGCTCAGGGGACTGGGCGTCGTCTCACGGACTGAGAGGTCCTGGTTCCATTCCCGGTCAGGGCACTGCCCAGGTTGTGGGCTCGATCCCCAGTAGGGGGCGTGCAGGGGCAGCTGATCGATGTTTCTCTCTCACATTGATGTTTCTCTTTCTCTCTCCCTAAAAAAAAATCAATAAAAACACGTATTTTTTTAAAAGGTACATTTCCTAAACTAAAAATAAGTTTCTAGACTGAAAAGACCAGAGAAGTGAATGACAAAATTACACACCTCAAAGCACGTGACAATGAAACTCCAGAACACAGGAATAAGGCCTCAAAAATGCTCAGAGAAAAACCAAGCTACATACAAAAGACAGAGAATCAGAATGTCGCTGAACTTCTCACACCAACACTGGAAGCCAGAAGAATATGATGCAGTGACTCCAAAAAAGGAAAATGAATTTCAACCTAGAAATCTACACACAGTGAAATATTCAAGCATGAAGCTTTACAAAGAGAAGGTCGTTTCGGTTTCCGGACTGCGGGACCTCAGACGCTGCGTGTACGCACCCTTTCTGAAGGAGAGACTGGAAGGCATGCTCCATCCAAATGGGGAGAGGGTTAATCCAGACATACACAGGAGGGAGGAAAAGAAGTTTCCAGAATGACTACGGAGGCTCTGAGCTGACAGCCCTGCAGCAGGCCTCAAAGCAACCTGTCCAGGTGGGCAGGTCAGGAGAGACTGCAGGAGGGACATTGGGCGAAGCAAGGGCACAAAGGGCCGGTGGTGAGCGCCGGTGCCTGCCTTCACGGGGAACCGGGCAGCACTGGGGAGAATGTGGGGTGCGTTAATAATGGGCACACGGCTACCACCAGACCAGGAAAGTCAAGACTAAGACGAAAGACAGGTCTGTGAGCAGAGCCCGCGGTGTGGTCCTGTGGGCGGCACCCCCAGGGCCTCCATAGAACCCAGGAGATCCCAGAGCAGTCAGCTGCAAGGACGAGGGACAGGGGTGTGGTGGCAGAGTCAGAGCTGAACCCCCACCTTTCACAGGTGAAGTGAGCTCCAAGTTCAAAACCAGGAAGAAGTAGCAGGATGACCCTGTTTACGAGGCGAATGAAAGCGGCGGAAGGAGCGGGCGACGAGGCCGCTGGAGAGCAGGTTTGAGAAGCGGGGTACAGAGAGGAGGTGAGGCTCTCCTCTGAGGGTTTGAGAAGCGGGGTGCAGAGAGGAGGTGAGGCTCTCCTCTGAGGGTTTGAGAAGCGGGGTGCAGAGAGGAGGTGAGGCTCTCCTCTGAGGGTTTGAGAAGCGGGGTGCAGAGAGGAGGTGAGGCTCTCCTCTGAGGGTTTGAGAAGTGGGGTGCAGAGAGGAGGTGAGGCTCTCCTCTGAGGGTTTGAGAAGCGGGGTGCAGAGAGGAGGTGAGGCTCTCCTCTGATGGTTTCTCCCATGACGGTTTTTTTTTTTTTTTTAATCCTCACCCGAGGACATTTTTCCATTTTCTGCCCAGGTAGAGTGGGAGGGAGAGAGAGGAACAGAGAGAGAGAGAGAAACATCGACGTGAAAGGGACACATCGAGTGGCTGCCACCCGCACAACCGACCAGGGCCGGGGACAAACTGCAACCAAGGTACACGCCCTTAGCGGGAACCGAACCCGGGTCTCTCAGGACCGCAGGCCAAAGCTCTAACCGCTGAGCCAAACCGGCCAGGGCTCCCATGACGGTTTTTAAAACAAACGTTCCAAGGCAAGAATGACCAAAGCCAGGAATGGAAACGAGCTAAGCACTTGTATTTCCAAAGCCCCTAGAAGGCCTGGTCCTACGGGAAGGGCCAGAGCTCCTTGGGAGGAGGCCGGCGCGCCTGCCGCACCACACACAGGCCGCGGGAAAGCCCGAGTGGGACTCGACGGCTGGGACAGGCCCAGGACTAAAGGCGAGTCCAGTGGAGCATGATGAGAGCAAAACACGCAGGGACAAAGCATACATGCCTTTGAGCTGTAAGTGCAGGATTCTAACAAAAACAATCACAGCGAAAAATGCCCAGTTTAACTGGTCACTGTGGGAGAACACAAGTAAATCAGCTTGTTCCTTTGAAAACTGGTCAATAGAGAGAAAGAATCAAGCACTTTGTGGAAACCAAACTGTGAAGAGGGCTGTGTCTCCACAGCGTGTCCCAGCTACCGTGTGAAGGAGCGACGGAACCGCACACAAGTTCATGTTCCGCAGCCTCCCAGGAAGGAAGCCACAGACACCGGGCCCCAGCAGCAGACGCACCCCACACTCCACCCCGGAGGGAGAGGCAGCCTTTCGCCGGGACTGCTGAAGCCAGAGCCGGTGAGTGCGACCTGGAGATGAAGAGAGCTGGCGAGAAAGGCCACCAAGGGACACACGCACTTGTGTAGACACATACAATGCACGCACACACAAATATGCATGCACACACCAAAGCGTGCGCAGACACGTACACACTAGTGCACACGTGCAGACACGCGCACGCACACTGCCAGGACAGTGCAGCCCTGAACAGCCCGGACACGTGTTGCCGGCAGTCGCACGCAGCCCGCAGGCGCACCTGCCGCTCACAGTAGGCCTTCATCAGCTTGCTCAGTGGGGTGTGTCTCTTGATCTTGAACTGGACCACGGAGCCATCCTGTCCGGCCACTTTCAGGTTGATGTGGTCGTTCTCTGTCTTCACTCCTTCCTGCAAAAGATATGACACTGGGCCTCAACACCACGTCCCAAAATAACCACTATTGTAAAGGGCAAGTCTTTAGGTAATTGCTGGAGTCTTTCCAAGTCATCAAAAGCAACCTAATTCTGAACAATTTCCAGCAACCCAGAGTCACTCATGTGATGGTTTTATTTTTACACAATTTATTTTTAACTTCTACTTGTTAAGCATCCTTGTGTAAGGAAATGCAACGCAAATCTACAGAGTTCACAGAATGGTAATTCAAAGAAAAAACCTGCTCAATAAATCTAAAAAAAACAGAGAAAGTCCACGTCTGCCAAGATGACGCTGTGAAGCCAGAGGGACACGATGGTGCTCGTGTCTTTCTGGGGAGTGGTTTGTGTGGGAGTTTCCCCCTCCCAGCTGCCGCCACCCAGTAGGGGAACCAGCCCCGTCTGATCAGGGACGCTCACAGTACTTCCCTGCACCGAATGCCGGACCCCCTCCCAGCTCCTGGGGAATCATGGAATGGCTACCCCAAGTCTGAGGCACTTCTTCGGGATCAGTGACGTGCACCGGGGAGGGTCCCGCAGTCAGTGCCACCTCATTTATCCGGCACTGTTCGGGAATCGAGGAATTGTTTATCTTTGAACAAAATGATCAAACTGACCTGCATCAATCTGAAAATAAAGATCTGATGGAACTCAAAGTAATTCTGGACTTTCTCCGGCTGACGTGCATGCTCTCTTCCCTGCGTCCTTTGTCAGCGCAGCCCCAGAAGAGCTGACCGCCACAAGAGCTAGGGCTAGGGCTGCTGGCCGGCTTGGAGGAGGGATCACAGCCGCCCTCCTTCCTTCTCTGCTTGGAGGGCTGGGGCCCTTGCTCCTGTCGCACGCCCCCAGCTGTCCTAACAGAAGGGACTGGGGGGCAGGCAGCCACATCCTGCACTCTGGCTGGAGACTCTGAGTGGAGAGAGAGGTCTGTCCAGGGAGCACAGAGTGGCCCAAGAAGTGGCAAGACCCCAGCAAGGAGCCTGAAGGAGGCGTCCTGGGTGGTGCTTGCCCACCAGAGCCCTGGGCGGCAGCTAGCCAGGCACCAGTTGCACCCCACCCCACCCCCGCAATGTGTACTCCAATTGGGCAAACCCAGTGACACAAGTCATGGGGTGCTCTGGGATCCGAGGCCAGGATGGGCTGGGGGTCCCCTCTAGGGACACCCCTTCATCCCCCAGAGAGTAAGGATGCATTTTTTTTTTCAAATAAAGGTTTTGTTTTGGAATAATTTTACATTTATAGAGAAACTATAAAGCAGAGACGGAGAGAAGTCCTGTGCACCTCTCGCCTGTCTCCCCGTGTAAGCATCGCACACCCACGACACGCATGACCTAAGAAACCCGTGATGGCGCATCACTGCTTGAAGCTCCAAGTTTTGCTGTTTCAGCAGTTTTCCCATTCATGTCCTTCCTCTGTTCTGGGATCCAATCCCGGGGACCACAATGCGCTATATAGATATAGATATATTTTTTTCAACTTTTTATTGTTAAAAAACACAGAACATAAAATTTAGCGTTTTAACTATTTTCAGTGGTATTAAATACATCCATAATGTAGTGGGACCATCACCGCCATCCTTCTCCGGAACTCTTTTCATCTTGAAAAACTGAAACTCTGTCCCATTAAACACTAACTCCCCTCCCCAGCTCCTGACGCCTCCTCTTCTGCTTCTGTCTCTGAATTTGACAACTCTGGGACCCTCATGAAGTGGAATTATACAGTATTTGCCTTTTTGAGACTAGCTTATTCAACTTAGCATAATGTCTTCAAGGTTCATCCATGTCACAGTATGTCAAGATTTCTTCCCTTTTTAAGGCTGAATATCTCATTACATGGACAGACCCCACGTGGTGTGTCTACTCAACCACTGATGGACACTTGGGTTGCTTCCACACTTTAGCTATAGAGAATAATGCTACAGTGAACACGAGCGTGCAAATATCTCGAAACCCTGCTTCCAAATACTTGGAGTATATCCCGAGGAGGACTGCTGGGTCATATGGTAGCTCTGTATTAATGTTGAGGCCCCTCCACACTATTTTTCCAGCTGCTGCACCATTTTACATTCCAACCAATAGTGCACGAGGGTTCCAACAGCTCCATGTCCTCACCTACACTTGCTTTCTGATTTTTTTTTATCCTCACCCGAAGACATTTTTGCATTTATCTTCAGATAGAGCAGGAGGGAGAGAGGGAGGAAGAGACAGAAACATCGATTCGAGAGAGACACATCGAGTGGCTGCCACCCACATGGCCCCAACCGGGGCCCAGGACAAACTGCGACCGAGGTACGTGCCCTTAGCGGGAACTGAACCCGGGTCTCTCTGAGCTGCAGGCCGATGCTCTAACCACTGCGCAACCCAGCCAGGGCGCTTTCTGATTTTTTATAGTAACTGTCCCAGTGGGTGCGAAGTCTTCACAATTTGCATTTCCCCAATGATTGGTGATGTTAAGCACCTTTTCATGTCCTTATTGACCATTTGTGGGGGAAGGGGGATTACCGATTTTAGAGAAAGGAAGAGAGAGAGAAACATCGATTTGTTGTTCCATATATTTATGCATTGATTGGTTGATTCTTGTATGTGCCTTAACCAGGGATCGAACCCGAAACCTTGGTGTATCAGGACGATGCTCTAACCAAATGAGCAACCTGGCCAGGGCTCTTATTGGTCACTTGTATATCTTCTTTTGAGAAATGTTTACTCAAGTCCTTTGCCCATTTTTAAATGTTTTTTTTTCCAGTTGTTGTGTTTTAGAAGTTCTCTATATATTCCAAATATTAATCCCTTATTCTGTTGACGAGTTGCACATATCTTCTCCCCTTCTGTAGGTTGCCTTTTTAGTGTCAATAGTATCCTTTTATGCACAAAATTTTTTAAATTTTCATGAAGCCCAGTTTGTCTGTTTTTACTCTTGTTGCCTGTGCCTACGGCACCCTATTCAAGAAACCATTGCTACATTCAATGCTGTCAAACTTTTGTTCTGTTTTCTCCTACATTTTATTGGTTTAGGTCTTACATTTTGAGTTAATTTTTGCATGTCAAGTTAAGAAAGATACAAATTAATCCTTTTGCATGTGGACAGAGAAAATATTTGTTTTTGTTTTAAGTATTTTTTATTGATTTTGTTAGAGAGAGAGAAAGGGAGAGATAGATACACCAATGTGAAAGAGAAATATCAATTGGCTGTCTCCTGCACGCCCCCTACTGGGGATGGAGCCTGCAACCTGGGCATGTGCCCAAGAAATAAGGGACTGCTCAGTCCGTGGGACGATGCTCAATCCACTGAGCCACACTAGCCAGATGAAATATTTGTTTTTATAATGAAAAAATATGGATGTGTTCAAACAGATTCAGGGACCAAAATACAAAACAAACAGGATCACAGGGCAGCAGCTGCAGACCAGGCAAGAGGAAGGGCAGCAGGACTAGGCAGGGCCTCACCAGGCAATGGGGCACCAGCCAGCCACCTTGGGGAGCTAGTGCAGCCGGGAAAAGCCCAGGTACCCCTCTCCTCCAAAGGAAGGACACCAAGAACAATGGCCGATGCCAGATCCCTGGTGAATTCCTAACAAACAAAGTGTAAAAGGAAAAAAAAAACTTCGTCCTGGCCAGTGTGGCTCATTTGGTTGGAGCGTCATCCTGTACACCAAGAGATGGCGGGTTCGATTCCCAGTCAGAACACATACCCAGGTTGCGGGTTCGATTCCTAGTCAGGGTGCACATGGGAGGCAACTGATCAATGTTTCTCTCTCTCTCCTTCTCTCTAAAAAACAATAAAATTTAAAGAAATAAAATAAACCCTAAAAACAACGATCACAATTCACTGTAGTCAGCTCCCTGACTCAGCTATGCAGCAAGTTAGACACAGCTTCCCCAGCTGACCCCCGTTTTCCTTTTGCCAGCACGATGGCCTGGGGGTGTGCCTCCGCCCCTCCCTGCCAGGTGCAGAGCCCAGAGGGCTCCTCAGTAGGCACCAATGGCACTGCAAACCATTTAGTCATTTTAGACACAGTTTAAACACGTTTATTCAACTGAAAGAAACATGGAAGTTGACGGTGTAGGACAGTTAAGTTTAAAACCAATGAAGAAATGAGTATCATATGTATTTCACTGTATTTAAACTTTAGTAAGAAGCAGCCACCCAGAAAACAAAAAAAGGCATTTATATTTGGCCAAATGACCAGGCTGGGATGAGTAGTATAAAAGGCTGAGGTGGGCCCTGGCCCATTTTGCTCAGTGGTTAGAGCGTTGGCCTGCGGACCAGAGAGTCCCGGGTTTGGTTCCCGCTAAGGGCACCTACCTCAGTTACAGTTTGTCCCCGGCCCTGGTTGGGGTCATGTGTCTCTCTCATGTCCATGTTTCTCTCATGTCCATGTTTCTCTCTCTCTTCCCCCCTCTCTCCCTCCTGCTCTATCTGAGGATAAATGCAAAAATGTTCTCGGGTGAGGATAAGGAAAAAAAGGCTGAGGTGGAGGCATAATGGACAAAGCGAAGGCAGCTCCAACCGAATATGGAGAGAGGAAGTGTGCCTGGTGCGATCTCTGCTCAAAGCAGGGTAGGGAGGGGCTGGCTTCCACACATTCAACTCAACAGCAGATCTTCCGCTTGAAGAAAAACAAACCCCGACAGTGCAGACCTAAACCTTTGGAAACCTGTTTTTCTTTTTTTTTCCTTACTGATTTTAGAAAGAGAAGGGAGAGGGAGAGAGAGAGAAACATTGATGAGAGAGAACATCAATCGGCTGCCTCCTGCATGCCCCCCACTGGGGATCGGGCCCACAACCTGGGCATGTGCCCTGCCCAGGAATCAAACCAGTGACCTCTTAGTGCATGGGTCGAAGTTCAACCAGTGAGCCACACTGGCTGGGCTGGAAACCTGTTTTTAATAATAGTTAATACAACCGCTTCAGAACTTCCCAAGAGCTGACAGCCAACACCCTAGAGCAGCGATTTTTCAACCCATGTGCCTCAGGGATTTTTAAAACAAGCGATACCTGACTAGTCAAGGGCACTGACCTCTTTTCCCTTAGATTGTCAAATAAAAAAATGACAACATTCAACACAATAGCTGTCCCGTGTGAATCAAAACTACAGCTATTTTTCGGTCAGACCGGCTTAAAATATATTCTTTGCTATGCCACAAAATTTTACTAATTAGTTTGTGTGTGCCATGGGACGAAGAAGGGCGAAAATCACTGCCCTAGGCCTTGGCTGGGCAGCTTAATTGGTTGGTGTGTCCTGGGATAGTCAAGGCTTCGGATTCTTCAGGTCGGCACGTACAGGAAGCAGCCAGTGAATGATGCATAGTAAGTGGAACAACAGTCTAAGTTTCTCCCTCCCTTCCTCCCTCCCTCCCTAAAACCAATGAATAAAAGACGCGAAGGAAACTCGCTGTCCCGGAGAAGCGCACAGCAGAGGGCACCGCGGAGGCCGGAGGAGACAGCGCGGGAGGGAGGCGGGCGCACGCGGGGCCAGCAGGAGAGGGAGCAGCAGGGGCTGGGCGGCGGGGTGGGCAGCGCGCACGGACGCGGGTCCTAGGGAGGGCGGTCCCGGGAAGCGGTTCTCCGTAAACGGGGTGGCACCGGCCGAGATCCCCGCAGCTAGGGTCCGAGCTGGAAGGGGGGTTCCCGGCGGGGGAGGGGACCCGCGCGGCAGACTCCCCAGAGAGAGAAGTCTGGATGCTGCAAGGAGGGTCCTGAAGACGGTGCATCCGGCGGGTAAGGGGTGCGGTGGCGGGATCGGGGCGAGGAGGGTCCCGACGAGGGCTCGCCCCGCTCCACCTCGGAGCTCCGCGCAGACCCCGCCGTCAGCGGCGGTGGAGCGGGCCGGGGCTGACCGCCGCGCGAGGGGACCGAGGAGGCTAAGCGGCGGGGCGGGGCGCGAGCAGTCGGGGCGGGGCCGGGATGTGGGGCGGGGCCTACGCGAAGGGCGGGGCGCGGCCTGGATCGTGGGGGCGGAGCCTGGCCGAGGGCGGGGCGGAGCCTGGGGGGAGGGGAGCCGAGCGGCGCGACTGCGGGGGGAGGGGCGGGAGGCCTGGGCGCCGGGAGGCCCCGCGGAGGCCGCTGGCCCCTGGCCCCGGAGGCTGCCCGAGCCGCGGAGGGCGCCCAGTGCGGGGCGGGGGCGGGCGGGGGCGGCGCGGGCGGGGTCGAGCGCGGGCCCGACCTGTGCCCACCGGCCCTTACCTTGGGCTTCTCCTCGGACATGGCTGCGAGCGGTGGCGGGGTGGCGGCGCGGCGGCGCGGAACGAGGCAGCGCGGGAGCGGGCGACTCACGCTCTCGGCCCGCCGCTCTCCCGCCGCAACTGCTCGCGGGACCGCGCTTTTGCCCCCCAAATCCCGACGCGCCGGTTGGTCGCCACGAGGTCACGTGGCCGGCGCGCGTGCACGACGCGCGCGCCCGGGACGTCGAGCGCGCGCCCGGTCGGGCCGAGGTTCCCGGCGATTGGGAATGCGTCACGGGGCGGGGCCCGGCGCCATCCCAACGCCCGGACACCGGGGGGCGCTCGGGACACGGGTGGGCGTGGGCGCGCTGGGACCTCCGGCGCTCGGAGCGTCCAGGGCGGGGTCGCTCCAGGCACCGATCTGGGGAGGGGCTGGGGAGGGGCTGGGGAGGGGCGTGGCGCTCCCAGAGCTAGGCCTTGAGGCCGTCCAGGTGCACAGGCAGGGCCCAGGGCATCCCCTCGGGGTCGGTCTGCCTCAGGGCCCTGGTCACAGAGCTGGTCCCTCGCCTGCTTGAGCTCAGCCAGCCGATCCCAGGCGCCCCACTCATTTCCTGCGTGGAGAGTGCGTTTCTCCGAGAAAGAAGGGAAAAGGCCAGTCTGGTGAACCACCTCCAGTGGCCATGGAGGACCTAGGTGCCTACTGGAAACGCTTCAGCCAGGTGCCGAATGTCAGGTCGTGAAGAACTGCACGGGGAGCCAAGACGGCGGGCCAAGGCCGACCCTCCCACGGGCTCCATCCACCAAGAACACGTTGCATTTGTTCGTTTTGAAGCCCACGCAATCTCAAGTCTGACCCTCACCCGGAGTGGCAGATGGACAGAGGCATAAACTAGGATTAGGGATGTAGGCCTTCCTCTGCCCACTTTGCACTCTGAGCTTCGCGAGGTTCCCTCTGAGGCTTCCTCTTGTCCTCTGGTCTGGTCCCCACTTGAGGCTTCTGAGCCCAGCAAGTGAAAGCCCAGCACCTGGAGGCAGTGGCATGGATGCAGGAGCCCCTCTTGTGACTATTTCACTAAAGTCTGGAGTGCACACCCTGTGCCAGATGCTAGCACTCTGCACCTAATCCTCACAGCAGCCCATTTCACAGGCGAGGAAATTGAGGCGCTCAGAGGTTAAATACTCTGCCTGAGGTCCCAGAGTTTGTGGGCAGTACCACTGGGGTTTGAAAGCAGGCAGTTGGTCAGTGAGATTAACCACTACTGCCTCTCAGGGAAAACCCAGAGTTAGACCCTTGCCCCGATGGGCCAGGTGGACACTGGCAATGTGCTGGAGAACAGGGGCCACAGTCAGTACTCCTCTCAGTACTTTGAAATGCACATTCTTAGAGAGACCTGGCTCTTCTTGTCCTGCCCTCAGATGAAATGGACCAGTGATGGCCAACGTTTATCTATCACTCAGAGTGTGCCAAGCATGGTACCAAGACCATCATCCCACTCAAGCCTCACAAAATTGAAGTAGGGACCCTGGTGATCCCTATTTTGCCAACTAGGAAACTAAGATTTTGGAGGAAGGTGGACTGCACAGGATCAGGCAGCTAGGATATAGCAGGGTCTGGACTTGAACCTAAGTGACGGAACCATTTCCATCCTAAGACCCAGCCAACTGAGTTCCACTCATTTCCTGTTAACATCACAAAGCCATAAAGCCAAGTTTTCATGGACTCTAATTTCAAAAACCATCTTTGACTCTTACAATTTCACTTTCTTGGCCAGAGGTACACCGAGGAGAGGGGAAGGGAGCTTCCAAAAATGAGGTTGTCATGTGACCAGTTGACAAAGTCTCCATGAAAGGTCTAGTCAGAGCCAGCCTCCCATCTCAGCCAGGTCCAAGGGTTTGGCCCCTTTCATCCTGGAATGTGGACGGTGGCCCTCTTCTTCCAGAGGATCCCTAGGTAGAATGGCAGCTCAAACTATGCTTTCAGGACAGGGGAGCCCCCAGGAACCAGCCCATTCCAAGACAGAAGGACAATGGGACTCAAACCCCCGGTTGCTAGCTGTGGTGTTACTTTAGGTAAAAGTGTTCAGATCCATCAACAACCCTAACATAGCATCAATTATAAAATATAACAGCATATGTGCCACACACATTAAACTATGATGGATTATGGATGGAAGACACATCCTGGTTTCAGACTTAAAGTGTGAAAAATCTATAACTTAGAGTTGATTTTTTTTTTTAAGTATCTAAATGTGTTACAATAAGAAATTAAGCCCTGGCCAGTTTGGCTCAGCAGTTAGAGCACTGGCCCATGGACCAATGACTATCGGGTTCAGTTCTGGTCAAGGGCACATACCTTGTTTGCAGTTCGTCCCCAGCCCTGGTCGGGTCATGCAGGAGGCAGCCAGTCGATGTTTCTCTCTCTCTTCCGCTCCCTCCCACTCTATCTGATGATAAATAGAAAAAAGATCCTCAGGTGAGGATTTAAAAAAAAAGAAAGAAATTAAATTATGGTCCACTCATGTTTGAGGTTATGTCATTATTAAATGTGTAAAAGAGTATTTGATAACAGGAAAAGATGCTCATGTGATGCTGATAATTTTTTTATTAAACAAATTATAAAACTATTGAGGCCCTAGCCGATGTTGCTCAATTGGTTGGGCATCATCCTATGCACCAAGAGGTTGCCAGTTCAGTTCTTGGTCAGGGTACATGCCTGGGTTGTGGGCTTGATCCCCAGTAGCGGGCAGGCAGAAGGCAGCCAATCAATGTTTCTCTATCCCGTCAATGTTTCTCTTTCCCTCTGAAAATCAATTTTAGCCCTGGCCAGTTTGGCTTAGCAGTTAGAGCATGAGCCCATGAACCTAAGGGTCCCAGGTTTGATTCCCAGTCAAGGGTACATACCTGGATTGTGGGTTCGATCCCCAGCCCTGGTCGGGATCATTCAGGAGGCAACCAATTGATGTTTCTCTCGCCCTCCCTCCCTCCCTCCCTCCCTCCCTCCCTCCCACTCTATCTAAAAATTCAATGGAGCCAGGCTGGTGTGTCTCAGTGGATTGAATGTCATCCAATGGACTGAGAGGTCCTGGTTCCATTACCAGTCAGGGCACATGCCCGGGTTGTGGGCTCGATCCCCAGTAGGGGGTGTGCAGGAGGCAGCCAATCGATGTTTCTCTCTCACATTGATGTTTCTATCTCTCTCTCCCTTCCTCTCTAAAAAAATCAGTAAAAATACAAAATAAATAATCAAAAATTTAAAAAAATCAATAGAAAAGTATCCTGGGGTGAGGATTTAAAAAAAGAAAAGACAATCAATTTTTTAAAAATATTGTGGTTTTTGAACAACCAGAAAATCTGTATGGAATATTTTTTAAATGTTTGAAAAACATCAGTGACCAAAGCAGAGAAAAGTTTCTCTGGGGGGCGAAGATCCCAGAAAGAAGGGAAGTGATTTTTCCCTTTGAGGCATTTGGTGATTAGTATGATGTATTATTCAGCGCAGGCTGCCGTGACAAAATACCACAGACTGGGTGGCTTAAATAACAGACACTTCTCACAGTCCTGGAGGCTGAAAGTCTGAGATCAAGGTGCCAGGATGGCTGGTTTCAGGTGAAGCCTGTCTCTTGGGCTGCACTCCCAGGGATAGCCACTGCCTCCCTGTATTCTTCCCTCTGCGTGTGCGTGGAGAGAGGGAGATGGAGAGTAAGAGAGAAAGAAAGGAGAGAGGATGGGGGAGGGTGAGAAGGAGAGACACATGTAATGCAGTCCATAATATATGCAATGGACAAGAAGTTAAGACACTGAGCACAGCTTTTGAGTCTCACAGAATGTGGGAAATAATAACTGGACATGGCCGACAGCAAGATAACTGGTGGGGGGGTGGCTCTGATAAATAACTGGATATTGAGCTAAAGCACTGAGGTCTACAACAAAGGAGTAAAGCTGAGGTATAAATAGATCATTCCTCACAAAGACTGAAACCCTAGCATCCAGACAGCTCACTCCCAAATTGGGCTAAGCTGATTTGCTCTCCTTCCAATTACCAGCCTGAAGCAAAAGGAAATCTCTGGAGAAAAATAGCATCATCCAGGGCCTCAAATTAACTAAACTACTGTCATACACAGTATCCAGAATTGAATAAAAGTTTACAAAGAAAACCAAAGACAAATTATCCAAAACCAACCAGGAGAGAAAAGTGTGTGTGTGTGTGTGTGTGTGTGTGTGTGTGTGTGTGTATTAAACCCACAGGAGAATAGGCATTAACAGAGACAGACTTTGAAGTTATTTTATTTATTTATCAAATATTTTTATTGATTTTCAGAGAGAATGGAAAGGAGGGGGGAGAGAAACATTGATGTGAGAGCAAAACATTGATTGGCTGCCTCCTGCACTATTCCCACTCTGGGGATCAAATCCACAACCTGAGCATGTGCCCCGACCGGGAATCAAATCAGCAGCCCCCTGATGCCTGGGACGACACCCAACCAACTGAGCCACACCGGCCAGGGCACTTTAAAGTCATTTTAAATACTATGTTCAAGAAAATTGATTATGGGATGCAAATTTGCAGCAGAAATATGGAATCTATAAAATAGAATCAAATATAAATTTGAAAACAAAAACACAATAACTGAAATTATGAGTTTGGGAGATTTGTTTAACAACAGATTAGACACAATGGAAGAGATGGTTATGAACTGGAAGATATGTCAGAAGAAAATATTCAGACAGAAGTTGGGGGGAGTATGGAAAATATAGTAAAAGGCCTAAGAAACATATACAATATGGTTTGTCCTGTAAAAGGTCAAACAGCACAGCCAATGTGGCTCAGTGGATTGAGCTCAATCCCACTAACGGAGAGGTTCTGGTTTGATTCCTGGTCAGAGCACATACCCAGGTTTCGGGCTCGATCCCCAATAACAGGTGTGCAGGAGACAGTCAATCAGTGTATATCTCTAACATCAATGTTTCTATCTCTCTATCCATTCCTCTCTAAGAAACATCAATAAAAACATATTTTTAAGAAAGGCCAAACAGCCCTAGTCTGTTTGGCTCAGCAGTTAGAGCATTGGCCCACAGACTAATGAGTTGTGGTTTCGATTCCAGTCAAGGGCATGCACCTCGGTTGCAGTTCATCCAT